GGTGTGCATCCCTTTTACCGTACAAACTGTTTACGGGCGTCTTTTGGGTTCGTTCTCCTCGCAGCTTAAGCCAGAGGTGTTTAACGTCATGCTGTTGTTGCTAAGCAGTCGCTTTGTCTACGAGGAAATCCATGAGGACGCGGAGTCAGTTACGTTTGAGGTGGCCCAAAGCGGTAGTTGTGTGTACATCAACAGCGATAGGATAACCGCATTGCAGTTGCTACAGCTTCGACGGTTGATGTGTGCCAGACTGTGCGTGCTGCATTTTCTTATGCAACATGAGGCGGCACCCAGCGATAATGACGCGATAGCAGAGCATTTGCTGAGGACGGGGAGTGACTTTGGCATACCGCCAGGCATGGAGCAGCAACCACATCTCCTCTCTTTCATGATTACTTCTTCCTTGACGAAGGTGGTTCAACGCATTGGGGCGACGATTTCCACGAATTGCGACCGGAGGGTGTCTGGTGTTCCTGCAAATTCGCAGCCCTTCTGCAGGGTTACCGAGCGTCCAGCGCACTTTCACCCTACGCGGCAGTCAGCCCTTCTGTTTTCAAGCAACGGTTGTGCGCCGTATGAGTGCCCAGCAGGTGCAATGACGCCAGTTTACCGTGATCCGCAAGCAAACTTAATTGCATAGAGGATTATGCTCCATAAAAGGGATAAAATAAAAATAATTCAATGTATATGCCTTTTTCTTGTGTGTGTGCATATATGTTGCTTTCGGGCTTTTGCTTATATATTTATTTATTTATTTTTATAACTGTAGTGGACGAGGAATACGGAGGGGAAAAATAAGAAATTGAGAAAAAGGAAAGTGAATTATTGCCCAAGAGGGGGCGTCAAAGATTTAGAGCTGGCGGTGTTGTTGTTGTTGTTGGTGGTGGTGGTGGTAGTGATGAGTGATTGCATGCGAGTTTATTGACGTGGTTTTACGGATTTTCTTCTTGTTTTTCTTTTTAACGAACCCTTTCCCTCCCCACAAAAATGACTTTGTTTGGCGTGTGTTTGTTTGTTTTTAGGCTTTTAGGGTTGCGAAGGGTGAGCGGGTGGGAATGTCGTCTGGCGCTGGCCGTGGTGGGGGCTTTGGCACGCCCACGCAACTCGGGGTGCAGTACTCCTCCGAGGAAGAGCGCAGCATCTACGAGAAGGTGGCGACCATCGATGGCTACACCTTCGAGGTGCCGCCGGTTAACCGTTTCCACAGCAAAGCTGCGGAGTCCAAGTTTGTGCAACTTACCGGCTCCATGAATCCAAAGTTTGATGCGGAGCGCTTTGATTCTCTTCGTGAGCGTCTGCAGCAGGCTGACAAAAAAGGAAAGGACAGTCACTTGCAGGCCATCGCGGTGCTCTACGCCGAGTCTCTTGGAAACAATTTCTTAAAGGCGAAGAATGTGGACCTTGCAGAGCTGGAGAGGTGCTTTTATCCCTCCCATATCCCCTCGTATGCAGCCGCACTGCGAACCGTTGGACTTAAAAAGCCGCTTTGGTGGAGGCAGGGCCCTTTTGTACGCCTGGAAGACATTTCACGACTTTCACTTTTCCCGGTGTGATGTCACAAAGCAAACAGTAATGAGCTTTGAAGAGTGTATTGCCTGTTCTGAACTACTACACACCTTTTAACACATTGGCGTACTTACTGATGGTGACAGCGCAGTCCACGCTTCCCACAAGGGAGTTGATTGATGGCACCGCGGAATATCTCGCCTACCGTCACTCTCTCATTGAGGATCCGAGGGCAAAGAAAGCGCCCATCCTGTTTTTGGGCTCCCGCACAGGAAAGCTGGGCGGCCTACTGAATCAAACAGGAAAGATCCCCGTACCCGTCATTCATGTTCACGAGAAGCCCAACATGAATCCATATCTTCTTGTCATACCACCACATAAACAAGACGAATTTAAACCTCATCCTATAATAAAAATGAAGGATCAGGTTGCGTTAGAGAAGTACGAACCCGCCATTGTGCTGATTTCTGACATGATCATGAACAATGATCCTACTTCCATGATTCGACGTATAGGGTCTGTGCGGGAGTACATATATTTTGGTATTCCCAACAGTTATATTGAGGGCCATCCATGGGATACGTGGGGGAATCCCAGATACCGCGAGAAGGGAACGGACCACATTCCATCCTACATACGAGAAAATTGGTTGAAGGTCTCCCTACCTCACCTCTCACGATGGATGATTTACAAAACGGACAGCGAAATGCAAATGGGTAACGGGGCAGTTACAACGTGGATGCGGCGCCCTTTGAAACCTTCGGCCAAGGCAATATTGAGTTGGCGTCTTGCACGGTACAAACCATTTTACTGACACGGAATGTGGTGCTTGCGTGGAGTATTCAGGGTGGAAGGAAGGCAATGATATCCTTTTGTAGCTGTTGGTTGGTTCAGGTTAACACCACCTCATTTTCTTATTTCTCTCGTTTTTTTTGCCGTGTTGTTGTTGTTGTTGTTGATCTTTGGTGGAATAAAATCAGTTTTCTCATTCAAGGAATTGTTTGCATCCTTTTGCTGCCACCATCTTGTCTTATTATTATTATTATTATTATTATTATCAAATTTTTTTTTTTAATTTTTTATTTATTATTATTTTTTTTTTTATTGATATGGTCATTAATTGTTGATTCTTTTGCTCACTCTTTTTTTGGTGCCACCCAGGCCGCCTTTTTAGGTCGGTCGATAAGGCAGTCGGCGTGAGGGGGGAGCTGGGAGGGGGCGCAATTGACGGACCGCCGTCCTTTTTTTTTTTTTTTTCTGGAGGCGTTGAACAATTTGAGACGGGAGGATGAGTGCAAGTTGAGGGAGGTGACGGAGCTCAGTGCGTTGCTGGGCCGGCGGAGTCTTTCCGAGGATGATCAGCTGGTCATGTTGTACCTCGAGGACTGTTACAACAACTTCTTGGAGGAGGGACTGCGGAAACTGCAGGGGGAGCGCGGTGGCAGCAATTCAAGAGGTCTTGGCAGTCTTTTTCAAACCAAGTTACTGCGGACTCTCTTGAGTCCAGGGCTCTGTGCGCAGCCGTTCGCACCTCAGAAGAAGAGCTCAAACACGAATTCTCATGGCGAAGGATATGTTAACCCGCTGGCGATGGGTTCAAGCGAGCGTTCAGTGGTATCGCCGACCCCGTCTTTTGGGAGGAATTTGTGGACATGGGTACTTGACCGCATTATAGTGGGGGTGTACCGCATGCCGACCCGAAACAAGATGGAGTGGGGCACATGCTGGAACTATGGCGACAGTGCCTAGCACGCGGTGGCAGCATGCTTTCCGTGGTCTCTTGTATGGAGTTGGGGGAGACGGTCCCGCCTGGCTTTGCCACGTTGAAGGACTGGGAGCGTTTTCCTGGGGTGGTGGATTACTATTTTGTTCCATTCATTGCCCGAAGAAACAGGAGAATGCACCGGAGGTGGGGAATGAAATGCTTGAATTATTGTCTACCGTCTGCAGAAGCGTTCACATGGCATTAACTATTGTGGACGCTGGACAAGTTGATACTCAAAAAAATCTACTGGACTCCACGGGATTCTGTTCATTGCTTCGTTTTGGCGATAGAAAGGAGCGAGTGCTTTTGAAAGCCAACCATCAACGTATTGTGTACATTATGTGCAAGACGGGAGAGAAAAGGGCGTGGGTGTTCGCCATGGCGTACCTCATGAGCCAATGCGGCATGGAGTATCAGGAGGCCGACCGCCACCTTCGGCAGTTGAGGGAATTTCATCCCAGTCCTGCGCAGGTGGAAATTGCGTTGAAGTTCTTAATGCACACGTTCAAAGCTCAACGTGCTGAAGACCGTGCTGAGGAGCACACGTACCTCAAAGTTTTGACGCAGGTGCTATCATTATCACTTTATTACCGAAATCGACTTTTTCGTGAATTGGAGCGGTTGGCATAATGGGATTTGTTTTGGTGGGAGGAAAGCAACAAAACATGACATAAAGAAAAATACATCAAATGTTTCCGAAGTGTTTTTTTTTTTTTTTACTTTTTATAATGTGGTTTGGTACAGATAAGAACATCACTTGCCTTCTTAAATTTGCTTTTTTATCCGCCTTATTGCCTGTTTATTTTATTTTATCTTTGCATCACGACAATTTGGGTTAGCATGCATGCACGGACGCGGGTATTGTGAGACAAGCTTCTTTTTTCATCAATTCCTTTTTTTTTTGTTTTTTTTTGCCTGCTCGCCGATGTGGGGAGAGGGAGCTGCAGGGAAGAGCGACTTCATGCCGTTGGGCGGCAAAAGAGGAAGAAATTCAGACACGACGCCGTTTCCACAATCAATACGTGGGATGTTGGTGTTCGTCACGCAGGCTCTGGCCGAATCGTTGACTCTCACGTCTGGCGCATGTTGTAACACGTCGATCAACGGGGTGAGAGGGAGACGGAGAAAAACAAGAGACCCGTCGTTATGCCAGTTTGAAGAGAGGCTCTTCAATGCCTTCCAAAGAGGGTTTTCGTCATGCCCACGGAAGCCACATGCCCTGTTGCACACCTTTTCATTGAGTCCCTCCGCGACCAAGGCCTGTGCATATTTGCAGCGGCAGACCGGCCCCTCTATCTTGGAACGCGGATACTACGTTGTTGACTTGGATCACATTTACATGGAAGCCCCTACGTTTTTTGATGAGGCACATCGGTGTTGGAAGTACAGTACGAGAGGATTGCGGATGCAGAAAAAGACATCCATTTCACGACATCCTGAGCTGCTCATGGTTGTGCTATCGCCTCCAGAGACGGCGGCGGTGAGGGAGCCAGGAACTATGTTCCCGACTCTTGTTTGTCGATCCGCGGACAATGCAGATGGAAGAGAGGAGGGTATTTATGCTCGGTTGTGTGGATTTCCACCAAGCGCCAAATTCAGAGTTTTATCAGAGCAACTGCAGCAGCTCTCATTGAGTTATCCGAATAAAGCATTGATTACAGAAGGGGACGGGTGGAATTGGCTTATGGCACGTCCCCAGTCGCGGGATATTTCATGCGATTGGTGCAGAGCAACCCTCATTTCGAGTGATTTTGTCACACAGTCACTTTTTTTCTTGGAGTGGTGTGTCCCAGAGGATTTTGCCTGGTTGCCTTGTCTGAGAACAACGGTGGGCTGGGGCTCTGATGTGCTGGGCAAACTGTTGCGGGGCATCAGCGAGCATTTGGTTTTTGCTGGTGGTGCTGACAGCGAGCCAGCGTCAAAACGCTTTCGTGCAGAACATGAGGAGGCTTTTCTGGACATGTTTATTCCAACAGGGCTTGACGCGGTTGCTTCTTCCATGGAAGCTCTTGAAGAGGCGAAACGGGAGGCTGATACGCGCTTTGTGGGAAAAATCCACAGCGCTGTCTCCAGACCACGTCAAGGACTTGTCTTAAAGACACTATTGGGGCAGCTTGAAATGGTGGAGGAGTTTTTTTCTGGTTATAATCTGTATCCATGCGACGAGTCTCTTGTGAATGCAGCGGACATGAATTTCTCTCCACCACCCGCCGGGGCACCAACGGGAAGGGTTGCACAGCTGTTGAAGGAGTGGGAGCGCATACAGAAGAGTCACCGTTGTTCCTCCTTTCCGTCCTCTGACACGCCGTACTCTCGAGCCCGCCATGGTGATGCTGAGGTTGAATTGCCCGGGGAGGACGCGGTGGCACCGTTTCTAGAGATGATGCGGCGACATTTCATAAATCATGGATCGCAGGGGGGAGTTTCTTTCCGGTTTACGGGGGATGGGGAAACGCTGTTGGAGGCACCATGCGTGGCCGAAACAACGCTTCGAGAACCACCCGAAGAAATGGTGGAGCTGGCAGATGTGGCGGAGTTGTTAACAGCTCTCAGTGCATCAGCAGATATTGACTCTCGCGTGGCAGTCGGCGATTGTGGCCTGGACTATCAGCTTCCACGAGGGCCACTTAGGAGCATTATGGAGGCTTCCGTCACCGCATACATCTCTTTGGCCTTTGGCGCCAAAACTTTGGCGGTTGGTACTGCTGCATGCGGCCATGATGTCGTTGATTCGTCACGAGAGAGCGACGGTGATTGTCGCTCCACTCCCAGCACAGCCCCATTGGAAGTGTTGGGTGATGTCTTTTTTAAATTCATGAATGAGATGGATGGGGGGCAGAATGAGCGAAGCAGCCAGCTTCACGATGTTCTAAATGAGGTGATGAAACTGATGTGTCACATCAAAGCCGATGAAGCGGAGGCTGCGGGGGGCTGCATTATTTTGAGCCCCAAAGGCAGCGGTGAAAACAATATGGACAGCGATGCTGCGTTTCCCATAAATTCTATTGCGACTCGAGTAGTGGATGCGGCACGGACGGCAATGAGGCAGGCGGCGAGCGGGTTAACTGAAGTGGAGGCGAAAAGCCGAGGGATACGGTGGCTCAGGCACATTGCATTTCTTTTTTCTCACGCCTCGGTGCCTGTTGCTGCATCAAGTCCCATATGTCTGCCTGCACCGATGATGTCTAACGAGACAGAAGGGGATCAAGTTCGGCGTGTCGTGCGAGGGCTGGAGGCACATTTGTTCTTCTTGGACGCTGCTTTATGTGCCGTCGATGAGGCCATTGTGAGACGCTGGGAAGACGCCCACGAGGCCTTGGGAAAAGGAATTGCCTGAAACAGAAGCGGAGGCAGCCTTTGTTTTACTTTGTTTATTTTCTTCTATTGGGATGGATACAGACACACACACACACACACACACACACACACACACACACACACACAGAGTGGAATAGAGAAAAGAAATGTAACATTAATATTGTCAATTGCTTCTGTATTTAAAAAATGAAACTGCCGATAAAAGGGGAAATTGTGGTGAGGTTTGATGGTTTTTTATTTTTATTTTAGCTTTTATGCTGTTGTTTTTTGTTTACTTTCTCTGGAGGAGAGAGGGAAAGGGGTTGTAATGAGATGCATTGACATACGACATTTAGGTTTACACGTTTGCAGGTACAGAGATGCAAGACGAAGCCCATGTTGCTAGAGGGAGGTGATGAAACGAATTAATCGGTTGGGCGTGTGGGGTCTGGGCTCATTGTGATTTCCTTTGTATCAGTAACACCTTTCTTCTTGTTGTTTTCGTTTTTTTGTTCTTTAGTGCTGAGGAAGTGGAGGATTGATGCGCCGTTTGGCTGCTGTCAGTTGTGGAGGTTGTCTGCCGCTGCTGTTGTTTTATTGCCCGCATCTCTCGGCAGGCGCCCTGTTTTCGTCGGTGCAGGGCAAACCGGGCCACTCCGACGACGATGCGCTAGGCGCAGAAGACTCTTTTAAGGCCGTTGAGGCTGCGCTGAAGGATAAGCAAACATCGAAGGACCAGGCGCTACCGGATGAAATTGATCCGGTATCGTCAGCAGTGAACCGACGAAGAAATCGTCGCAAAAGAAGCGTTGACTCCATCTTTGGTGATGTTCTGCACGACGCGCTGAGGTTGCGGGACATGGGGCACAAGCCTGACGCCGACTTTGTGTACAAGCGGACACAAGAGCGAATGTATGAGGAGGAGTACGGCCACAAGCCTCCTAGCGCGAAGGACCACGCAGCGAAGTATGTTCCATTTCCACCGGATTTAGGTCTTAATCGCCTGATTCCGCTAGAACACATAATCGGTGACGACCCGTGGCCTGCGCGCTCCATCACGGCGCAGAACCCCGTCTGGACGCGGCAGCAGGTTGAGGAGGATCGAGTAAAGCATGGTGGTGCCCAGCTCAAGGAATGGGAGAAGAAGATGTTTGGCCCCCGAGAGGGCTTTGACCCTTGCGGAGAATTCATAGACGCCATGGAGGAGCTAGCATACTGGGAAGAACGTTTTGTAAAGTTTATCCGCGAGGCACCCTTGCCACAGCGCCGAACATTGCCACTTTTACATGAAGTTTATCGGTACATCACCCACAGATTGGTTAGGGCGGAGCGACGCTATCTTGGAACGCGGGATGCGGCCCTGAAAAAGGCCCGTGCGTCGTCTTCCGTGTACAAAATGACGGAAGCCAACATTGAGCGTATCCGGAGTTTGTATTCAGAGACCCACCGCTCCCTCTCGAGTCCCAATTACGATCCTGTTCGCATGAAGAAATCCTTGACCGGCCCTCTTCTACAGATGAGTGAGTCCGAGTTTGAGGAATGGAAGAATGTGCGAAAACATCAAAGAAATCGTCTTGTGGCGGAAATTGTGTGAAGACAGTTTTTTTTTTTTGTTGTTGTGGTGCTTTGCCGTTGCCCTCTCTTTGTTACGAGTCCTTTGAAAGTGATACGGTTTTTTTTTTTTTTTTTTTTTGAGTTCTTTCTGTCTTTTTTTTGCCGAGAACTTTTTTCTTTTTTTATTTCCCTTTTGCGGGCTCTTTTTTTTGTGACTCTCTGCGTGTTCGTGTGTGGGTGACGGGCAAAGAGGAGAGATGCGGCGTGCCTTTGCGCTCCTCCGTCCAACGGCAGTTGTCCGTTGCGTGCAACCGGCGGCCTTTCGCCCGACGCGTGTGCTGCACATTTACCCGCAGCTGGTCCGTCTAATTGTTGCCGGTGGCCTGCTGGTGTTTCAGGCCTTCGTGGTCGCCCACAACCGCGAGGCGCAGAGGCTGAGGGAGGAGGCGGACGGCACAGCCACAGGCGAGAGCTGCAGCACGGCTTTGATGTCATCCTCGGAGGCACTACATATTCTTGGAATGGACGCCAACCTCTGCGTTCCGCTGGGGGAAAAAAAGGACCGTGAGGAGGCAACACGGCGCTTCAATCATCTCTTTGCCATAGCAAAGAACAACAATAATGCGTACCTTCAAGGTAAGTTCAGCGCTGCGTACAGGGTTTGCGTTGACGCGAATTGGGATGCGGACGAAAATTCTTGCAGCAACAGGGGCATCGACTCTTCTGGCACTGGTGGTGAACAAGGGTGATTGCCCCTTTTTTTTTTGTCCTTCAGCTTTTATTATCCTCTTCTGCTGCGTGCGCCGGGACTCCATGTTTGCTCCCGGTGAGCGGCGCCAACCAACGACAGCAACTGATGCTGCCAGGAGAATAGGAGCAGGTGAAAGAGGGAGAGCGCGAAAAGGAAGAATGGGCGTGGCGGAATGAGTCGAGTGGAGGAATTTGAGGCATGGGACTCTTTTTGAACTCTGTTGCTGGCGTGATTTTGGTCTTTGCTCTGTCACCTCAGCGCCACCAGATGCCTCGATTCCCCTCTCCAGGAGGGAATGACGATCGTTTGGCGCTTCACGGCCGGTGCCGTGCGGTTGCAACCGAGTGGCATTGGTGAAGGAAGGGTCTTTCTCGCTCTTTCTGTCTCTTTGCAGTTAAGCAAGTGCACAGACACGGAAACATATTTTTGTGTCATTTTTGCTTCTCACATTTGCTTCCTTTTATATTTTTTTATTTTGTGCTTTTTTTTTCTTTTTAAAAAACCGGCTCCGTTCATCCAAACAGGAACAATGAGCGATGTGAGGCAGGCCATCCTTGACGCCCTGGGTGCTGCCGCGGACGCGAACCCAGACATCCGTCACCATGGTGAGGCACAGTTACAGCGGTTGAAAGAGAGCCCGGAGATCTTTTTTTCAAGTTGCGCGGAGTTGTTTACGGACGCTAGGGTGCCGACTCGGGGACGGCAACTTGTCGGATACCTCCTGAAAAATCATTTGGCGCATCCATCGTGTCTGCAGAACAAGACGCTGCAGGTTGCGGTCATGGAGAGCGCAGTGGTGGACCCGGAGTGCAGCATACGCGCTGTGGCATGCGCCATCATCAGTGCTGCTGTCAGGGAAGCATATTGGCCGGTGCAGCCCGTCGTCAGTTCCCTCACAGGTGTTTTTTCCACACGCAGTGGGGAGTTACACGCCGTTCATGGCGCAATGCGTGCATTGTCGCAGATTGTTGATGATACCGTGCAACTCCTGGACATGCGGCAACTCACTGGTGTTGTTGTGAGTGCTGTTTTGCCCTATCTCAGAACACAACTTGGAGGGCGAGAGGGCCTGGAGGTGCAGCTAAAGGCATTAGATACAGTTTCTGTAGTGCTTGAGCAGGCTGGCTTTGATTGTAGCAGCTTTTCTTACAGCAGTATGCGTCCTTATGTTCTAAATGTTATTGAATCCTGCTTTATGAATCTGCAGAACCCGTCTTCTGCTCAGTTGTCCACCAAGTCTGTGAAGTGTCTTGTTTTGTCACTTGGCTACCACGACCTTATATCTGACGA